GGGAGTGTTGGGCATGAGCCCGGCCCCGCGGCCGGGGGAGAAAGGGGGAGACGACCCCCTTAATCCCCTGAACTACTATAACAACTAGAACAACTTTTAAAACTATTTAACTACTTAACTATAAACACTAGAACTATAACTATAACTGCGAATAACTAACTAAGCTAGGGAGAGTGGAGAACAGCTAAGCAGCGCTCCACAGTTCCAACGACCGTCAGGGGCGGTAAGAAGGAACTGAGGGGGCGCCGGGTCGGCTGGGGTATATATTCAGCGCCATGAAGGCGCCACTCTAGGGGGCTCCACAGCCGACCCGCCGGTGTTGCTAGGGTAGAAAATCTTCCGACGATCGTGCACGCGGCGCGCACACACCTAATGGAATGGATATGAGCAAGCACTCGAAGAAGAATGTCTAATTCTTTTAGACCTCAGGCATGCAAACAAGACAATTTAGAAAAGTTACATGGTCACTTTTTCCACACTGCATGGGAAAAAATGGTGCTTATTTTCTTGAGCCACTCAATTCTGCCTCTTTTGGAAAAGTAGAAATTGATTTGTTGGTCTTTGCCATCCACATCCATAAAAGAAAAGAATGTAGCAGCAGCAGCAAGATATTTTCTTGTACCATGAACAGAACTCAAACAAATACCAGGACAATTTTATAGGCCCTTTTTACAGGCCACTTTTCAAGGAAATACCTTCATTTATTGCAAAGCAGTCCTTGTCAATGGGTCCTTTTGGCTTCTCTGTTCAGGTCACACTTACTCTTTTGCAGTGCAGCAGTTAGTCCGCGCAATTCCCAAACTCCTCATTCATGTCTATCAAAGTGTAAATCAGCATAATGCCCAATTCCTAAAAAAGCTGCTGTGGAAAACATACATGATGCAGCTATTGAGAATAACTAACCTTAATACAACCCTGTGAAACATCTGTGGTGACAAAAACCTTGAAGTTAACTTGCTGATGCTTTTCCCCCCTCCTAATTTACAGTGGATGTAGCCATATAAGTTAGCTGGAATCTCCCTTCAGCTGCTATCACAAGAGCCTGCAGAAGTTGGCCCAATAAAAGGTATTATCTCAGCCAACTTGTCTCTCTATGAGGCTATAGACAATCAACAGCTTAGTATGGACAAAATAATTCTGCTTAATGTAAGAGCAAAAGAAATTACTTTAAAATAAATTAAAACTTGCATTTTAGGAAGTTTAAATAACCAGTAACATCCCTTCCTACCACTGACAGATTCGCCTTATTTTGGGAAGTCTCATTTAACATTTTGAGGATGGACATCATTTCCCCCCCTCCTCCTCCCAGCTCTGGTCTCACTCCTTCCAGCTGGACCCATTTT